ATGAGGCGTCCAGTCCGAATGTATTATCTTGATTTTTCTATACGTAGTACCGTCCCTGCGTGCACAATTTTAAAGCTATAAGCTAAATTCCCTCCCGCTACCAGGTCCGCCGACCGAGTGCAAAAGGATCATTTATTGGTTCCTTTTTAAAATGTAAAATATGCATCTTTAAATATTGAATTTCTAACATTTTTAAATAAAAAATATTGTAATATTTGAGGGGTGGTTTCACCCTCTTGGAACTGGAATTTCGAAAAATCCCTTCTTATCGAACCTCTGCACCCTAGAATCAACCTATATGCCAAAATTGAGCTTCTTACGTAGAGTGGTTTGAGCAGTATCGTGATTAATCAGTATGTCAGTCACTTAAGGATTTTATGGTATATATTAGTATAGATACGTTTTTTCAGATATTTTAAGAACAGTTAATTCGATTTGAATGAGATTTTGGGTGTCTATGTTTTTCTCAGTGTTTTAGTGCTTTAACATTTGACTTTCACAAAAATCAATAAAAAGTACGGGAAGGGTAAAAGCTACCCCCAACCCTACATAAATTTTAGTATAAATATTTTCCAACTTCGCCGACGACAGATTTTCTTTTGTAAAATGGTCTCTCTAGTATTTACCCATCTGTATAATACCAATTTGCTAATGACAGTAGCTATTTACAAAATCCACATTAGTTTATGTACTTTATTTAAATTTATAACATACTTTTAGTTAATTTACCTACAATAGTTTAATAAGTAAGTATTTATTATTTTATCAAGAAAAATAAAGAAGTAGTTCTTTGATTTATATTATGATGACTTAGATGTATACCGGGTGTGTCTCAAAAGTGGCTCACCCCTATAACTTTTTTATTTTTTCAGATAAAAAAACGAGATTTGGTATGTTAGTATATGACACATTGGGATTGATTGACATACTCAATTGTTTTTGGCCACTTCCTGTTTCACCGGAAATTACTATAACTTTTGATTGTTAAATGACACCCTCGGTATATTTTTACTTTATTCGATAGATGGCTATGTTAAAAACACTAATTCTTAATCAAGGGGCCTTGGAAAAATAGATTTGATTGTCTAATGTTTTTACTGTCTTATCCCAACCAGTTAAATGATGCCCAAATCGTATTTTTAATCATATCTCAATTTTTCCAAACGGAACGAGGGTGGCTCATTAGCATATTTGGAAAAATCATTTTTTACGAATAATTTGATACCACACACTTGGTATTTGGAGTCATATATTCGTTACGAACCGCAATTTATAATTTCAAATAAACCATATGCGAAGATGTCAAAAGTTGACATATGATATGTCATTCTATTCAGAGTATTATTTTCTATCGAATAAAGTAAAAAAATATCTAGAGTGCCATTTAAAAATGTGAAAAAGGAAAGACTTCCGGTGAAACAGGAAGTGACCGAAAACAATGGAATACGTCAATCAATCCTAATTTATGTCATATACTAACATACCAAATCTCGTTTTTGTAACTGAAAAAATAAAAAGTTATAGGGGTGTGCCATTTTTGAGACGCACCCGGCAGAGCCGGACTTAACGAAGTTGCCGCCCCAGGCTAAAAGAAATTTGCCGCCCCTTAATATTTTTTTAATGAACAAATAACGGATATAAAAAGCATTTATTTCAATACACGACCAGCAACAGAATAGACCGACCGAACAGATCAACACAGAACATAAAATAAATATTAAAATATTCATATAAAATGACAACAAACGAACAACAAAACTATAAGGTTTGCTTATATGCCTATAAAAGTTTCCTACAAAATTTTTTGTTCGCAAAATTATCAATTACTTCATCGTAATTGATAGTTTTTAAAAGGTCGGACTCAATATCTAAAACTGCCAAATGATTTAGACGTTCTGTTTCCATAGTGGACCGTAAATAAGTAGTTTTAATACGTTTCAGTGCAGAAAACGAGCGTTCAGCAGAACAGTTAGTAATAAAAGTACATGTGAAGATTCTTAATGCTATGAAAGTATTTGGAAACAGGTCTTGAGCGTTTTTATCATAAATTACTTTAAGAAGCTCTCTAGCAGATGGTTTTGCTGACTTAATGCATTTTATAAATTCACGAAAATGTTTAAAAAACTAAAAAACACACTTTTACCGTACTAAAAAGTATAAAATAATAGAATTTACCTAAAATGCTTGATAAAAAAGCGTGGGGCGCTTTAAAGTGCCTTTCCTTAAGAGGCATGCACATAATTCAATCAATATCGGCAAAGCGCCCTACTCTTTTTTAATAAGCATTTTAGGTAAATTCTATTATTTTATACTTTTTAGTACGGTAAAAGCGTGTTTTTTAGATTTTTAAACTATAATTTGTTTTTCACGTTTTTAGTTTTCAAGTTAAGAACTTTTTTTTATTATTTATTTATTTCCAACAAATACATTATACATACATCTACAGGGTTGTTCACCACATACGACACGGAGTATTGTAGCTAAACGATTATATTTTTACAAATTTCAAATTTTGGGTTCGATGAAGGACTATTAGAGGTACAATTTAAAAATAATTTACAAGATACAGAGTGTCCCAAATAAGTAAAAAATATCAAAGTTTTATTTTTTTAAATGGAACACCCTGTATATTATTACATTTTTAGTTTCTACGATTAAAATAAAGGTAAATTTGATTAAGGTTTATTACACTTAAACCTTACCGTTTTTGAAATATTTTCAATTTTGTGAAATTGCAGTAAAAATTTTAAGGCTTCATTTCTCCAAGGGTATCAAAGTTTTTAATACTAAATATTTACTGAAGTTTATTTATTGATCAGTTATTGTGTTGCAATAATAAAAATAATACTACCTTATACAGAGTGTCTAAAAATTTATTTTAAATAATTTATAGCTTTAAACGCCAATAACTTGTTTTAATTTAAATGGAACGCCCTGTATGTTTTAGGAGAATCAGATGCACAATTTAATTGTCTATTAAATTGTATTACACCATTTTTACCTATCCCTTCAAGTTTTCGTAGAAAATGCATTTTCTTATAATTTAGGCCTCATTCATAAATATACCTATGGAATATTGACATTTTATTATTGACACCCATGGAATATTGACATCATATATTGACATTCTAGTAACATTATCGTTTTGCTAAAAACAATAATGTTGTATGCAAAAAAAAACTATTTAAATCTTTATAAAAGAGTATACCATTAATTAAATATAGCACCATTATTTCCGCCCATATACTAATTAATTACATACTTAATTGTATTCCTTAATAAATTATTCTAAATAAATGTGGATTTGAGTCAGAAATCAATATAAAGTAATTTAAAAAATGAAATATCATTTTTAAGGTGTTACTTTTTATCACACTGTCTAATACCCATACAAAATTCAGTTTTTTTAGTATTTGGAACAATTATTATTAATCAATGCAGTCAGTTAATGTAGTTTGAATACTGGAATCATATTAATTGGTCCTTTTTAACAAATATTTAAACAGTTTTTTTTTATTTTTTAATGAAATAAACGAATTATATCCACAATATTAGTATCTGTACTCTTTAAAAATTTGGTACATTTTTAAAAATAATCTAAAATGTCAATATTCCATGGGTATATTGATAAATATATTCTAAATTACAATAAAATCCATTTTCTACGGAAACTTAAAGAGATAGGTAAAAAATGGTATAATATAATTTGATAGACAATTAAATTGTGCATCTGATTCTCGTAAAATATACAGGGTGTTCCATTTAAATTAAACAAGTTATTGCCGTTTGAAGCTAATAATTATTTAAAATAAATTTTAGACACTCTATAAGGTAGTATTATTATTATTATTGCAACACAACAACTGATCAATAAATAAACTTCAGTAAATATTTAGTATTAAAAATGAGTACCCCTTGGAGGAAATTTCAAGCCTTTAAAATTTTTCACTGTAATTTCACAAAATTGAAAAATATTTCAAAAACGGTAAGGTTTAAGTATAATAAACCTTAATCAAATTTACCTTTATTTTAATCGTAGAAACTAAAAATGCAATAATATACAGGGTGTTCCATTTAAAAAAATACAACTTTGATATTTTTTACTTATTTGGGACACTCTGTATCTTGTAAAATTATTTTTAAATTGTACCTCTAATAGTCCTTCATCGAACCCAAGACTTAAAATATGTAAAAATCTCATCGTTTAGCTACAATACTCCGTGTCGTATGTGGTGAACAACCCTGTATATTACTACAGGCTACAATATACCGGGTGATACTCAAATTGGTATGGGGGGTTTTTGGGAATGAGGATTACAAATTTTTAATCGGATTTAAAAAATTCAATATGGCGGATCGGAACTATAATTGGATAACAAATTTCAAGTCAATGGGACAAGTATAGAAGTCAGTCAAATTTAATATTTTAGATTTGGCCCAAATCGGCCATTTTGAATCCGCCATATTGAATTTTTTAAATCCGATTAAAAATTTATAATAATTCTCATTCACAAAAACCCCCACATACCAATTTTGGACGAATAGTATTACAATATATTTTGATATGCTCAAAATTTGCCGCCTTAGGCTCGGGCCTAGTTGGCCTAGGCCTAAGTCCGGCACTGGCACCTGGTGGATATATTGAATTTTCTATAAAAGAACCAATTAAGGAAAATTCATTTTCTTCACTTCCAACGACACGTTTCTGACAAATAAAAAGTAGTTTTTCAAAGGAAGTTTGTCAAAAAAAATCATATTTGGATCACAAAATCGATAAAATTCTCGATAAAATATTAAATAAAGGTCATAAACTAATGTAATTTTGAAAATAGCTACTTACTAAGAATCGCTAGAAAACATCTTGTTTCCAACAGATGTAGAAATTTCTGATTTTCTTTTGGAACCCCGGTATACATTCGCAATTTATTTTCTATGTTAATCAACATCTCTCTGAATTTCACCCTATTATATTTTATATTATCAGTACTGTTACTACTTACGTCACTTAAATTAAAGTTGTCTGAAGAATGAGACGAAACCAAAGAAGCACTTGAACCACTTGCACCAAAGTTTATCTCGGATGCACTGCCTTCATCGCTGTTGAATCGCACAAGTCTTGATTTTTTACTGCCAGGAATAACGGGTAATTCCGGCACTGCAAATTTTATAGGGGATGTGCTAATATTTTTTACAGGTAATGAACCCTGGACGCTTCGATATTTGACAGGATTAGCCTGACAAGAAAAACTAATTTTATCACTTGAGTTCTTAGTTTCTTCGGTTGAATGGAAAGATGTACTTGGTTGTGTAATAATATTTGGTGAATCATCAATTACGTTTTCGGAAAGATTCATTTCTGAATCAATTAAAATTTCAGAAATTTTTCTCTTCCGCGATCTTATTTCACTACTTATGCGGGGATTATTTGATTTTTTATCAGTTTGACAAGCGAAAATATGCGGGACTACGTCTGGCTTCATTCGAGCCTGAACTTTGCTTAGCTTGTATTCATAATAATTTTCCATGTCTTCGGTAAGCTAAAAATGTAAGTACAGCATATTGCATTAACAATAAAGACACGACTTAGCAACTTACGTTAAAATGATCTTCACAGCAAAAAAATATGGTTTTCAATGAAACGTCTTTTAATTCCCTTCTCGCTGCGGCAAACCATTTCTTCTTTTTTAAAACATTCCGAGGCACAGAGATGAAGATTTTCTGTGGATTATTTTTTGAAGTATTAATACACCCAGGGACAAAACACCACTTATTTGAACTCATTTTACTTCTTCAAAACACCAAAACAATGAAACTAAACAATACACCTTCGCGAACGTCTGCCAAAGGAATGCGGCAAGTGCACGATCGTACGGACGCCGGACGCCATCGATCGATCAAAGCAGTGACGTCAAAAACAGGTAGCCTCGAGCCGGGCACGTTTTCTAGCCTTGCTGCATTTCTCAATTTTGTTTTGAGTTTATGTGAGAAAATTATAGTTTTTAAGAAAAATTTTGAGTGCCATGGTTTTTTATTTATATGTAGCTATCGAAATTCATTGAAATTAGAAATTAGTGAACATGTCTATTGTCCTCACAAAATAAAATCACTAGTAACATATCCATTCCTTCCGCAAGCAGATACTAATTCATTTTTCTTGATAAAATATTAAATAAAGGTCATAAACTATGTAATTTTGAAAATAGCTACTAAGTAAGTATCACTAGAAAATTGCCATGGCGACACGAGCCATCCTGATTACAATTTTATTGAAAAATCGCTTTTTATTCAAAATCTGAGCCAGATAGGTATAGGAAACCGTAATATAGTTTGAAAGAGCATTTTAATATGCTTCGACTTATTTTAAAAAATACATAGTGTTGTATTTGAAATACCAAAGTTTTTATGTAAAATAAATATTTCAAATAGACCAGCAATTTTTTATATCCCTGTATACATTTAAGGAAGCAATAAATTTTTTTAGTAAAGTTTATTTTCCTGGCTTGAAAGTCAGCGCAAGAATTAATTCTGAAAAGTATTGTACAGGGTGGGTCAAATTCGACGCTTTTAAATGGAAACACCCTTTTCTATAGGAGATAGACGAAAACTAATATCGGTGTCTGGAGCTGATTTTTCATCAAAAACATGATGGTGAAAACCGCATATCAATATCTGTTACCGTTTCGGAGTTACGGGGTGTTTTTCAAAAATGTGCATTTTTAACAAATCGCTGTAACTTTTTTACTATGGAAAATTTTGTATTTCTATGAAAACATTTCCAAAGCACCTTTTTACGTAGAATTTAATGGTTTAAGTATAATTTTTTTAAAATTAATAATTTAAGAGTTATCAACAGAAAAATTGATTTTTTATTTGGGACACTCTCTATATTTTTAATTAACTGAAAATAATTTAAAGTTACCTCTCCAAAAATATAGCACACTTGATATTTTGTTATAATCCCCTTCGAAATACAGAATTTTTAAAAGTTCGCCACTTTAACTAGTAGGCTTTGGGCCCCTTATTGATGATATGCCTTTAGTGGAACTCGAAAACATATTTTTTCAGCAAGACGACGCACCGCCACTGGAAGCTGAAGTTATCAGCAAATTTTTGCAGCCAATTTCAAGAATAATTGAATAGCTAACCAAGATCCCAGCCGTTGGCCATCGAGGCCGCCTGACTTAGTGCCCATGGATCTAATCCTATGGATATATTTGCGGAAGAATAAAGGTTCCTTATTCTTCCGTATAATCTAGACAAGAATTAGAAATACTTAGCAGTTATGACAGGGTATCTTTCACCCCTATTGAGTTAATGAATTCCGCGAGAAATGTTCAAAAACTGCCCCGTCTGTCCATAACAGAAGACGGTTGATATGTCGAACACCTGTAGCAAAATCTCATGTCTTGGTTTGCTATTTATTTTTATTATTATTAAATATAGTTTAAATGTGTTGATGTTGGTTAAATATATTTTAAATTGTAATAAAATTCTGCATCTCTCATAGCAAATATTATTTTCGTTTTAATTGATGCTCATAGCTAGAATTTTTTTGCATTACAGCCGGTGCCGTTCAAAGCCTACTTATTTAAAGCGGGCGAATTTTTATATACTCTATATCTCGAAGAGGAATCGAGCAAAATATCAAGTGTGTTATATTTTTGAAAAGGTAATTTTAAATTCTTTTGAATAAATTAAAAATATACAGGGTGTCCCATATAAAAAATCAAATTTTCTGTTGATAATTCTTAAATTATTAATTTTAAAAAAATTATACTTAAACCATTAAATTCTACGTAAAAAAGTGTTTTGAAAATGTTATCATAAAAATACAAAATTTTCCATAGCAAAAAAGTTACAGCGATTTGTTAAAAATGCATATTTTTGAAAAACACTCCGTAACTCCGAAACGGTAACAGATATCGATATGAGGTTTTCACCATCATGTTTTTGACAAAAATTGAGCTCAGACACCGATATTAGTTTTTGCCTATCTCCTATAGGAAAGGGTGTTCCCATTTAAAAGCGTCGAATTTGACCCACCCTGTACAAGGTGTTGACATACTTTTTTATTATACCATGCATATTTAAATATCTTTAAATATCTCAAAAACCGCTACTTTTAAACATATTAAACCCTTATAAAATATGCCTTATTTTATGTCCAAGAATCCAAAAATGAAATAAAATACCGGGTGTTTCATAAGAAAAAATATAACTTTGGTATGGATCTTTAGTTCTGACACACCCTGTATATTTTAAAATAATGTTAATTATTATGCACATTGCCTTCCCACATATACTCATGAAATATTTTGTTTCTACATCTTTCCGTTTTCATATAATCAACCGAGACGAATAAGTAGTTTTCACCCTTCCTGCACTTTTTCGTGATTTTTGTGAAAGTCAAATATTAAAGCACTTAGCAAAACATAGATATCCAAAATCTCATTCAAATCGGAATAACGGTTCTTAAAATATCTGAAAAAATGTGTTTATTTTTTTTAAAGTTTGATGCCCTCTAGCGGACACACGAAGCACTTTCATATAGAGGTAAATTGTGTCCAATGAACGGGTCAACTTTCGTTTAGCTGAAATCAGTTATTAGAAAAAAAAATTGTCTTTAAAAAGCTAGTGTGAACCACGGAAACACAAATTTTCCTGCGGAAATGCGTAATTTCCAAATTTCGCACATGAGAATAACTGAAATCTGCTATAAAAAAAATACATTTTGCGTTTTATTTTTAATATTTTTCTGAAAATATAAACACAAAAATTTTCCCGCGAAAATAAGCTGTTTCATTTTCTAACGAAATTTATTAGACTTTAGAATAGCTGAAATCAGTTATATAAAAAATAAATATATTTTTGCCGTTTAGAAGCATTTACGAATTGAGGAAAATAAAAATTTTCCTGCGGAAATAAACTGTATCCATTTTCTGAGGAAATTTAATAGACTTTAGAATAGCTGAAATCAGTTATATAAAAAATAAATATATTTTTGCCTTTTAGAAGCGTTTACAAACTGAGGAAAATACAAAATTTCCTGCGGAAATGCTTGATTTTCATTTTCCATTTTTGTAAGCATAAATACATAAAAAATTATCTTTTTATCACTTTTGAACCAAAAAAACAATTTAAAAGTGTCTAAAATGCTAACCAATCTAATAATAAATCTAATAATATTTTTACAAAATCACAGTTAATTTAATTATTAAAATATAAAAACCACAGCTTAACACCCTTTACAAAGAAAAGCTAACCAAAGCAACGCAAATCCTAACCAATCTAATAATATTTTTGCAAAATCACAGTTAATTATTAAAATATAAAAACCACAGCTTAACACCCTTTACAAAGAAAAGCTAACCAAAGCAACCCAAATGCTAACCAATCTAATATTTTTGGTAATTTTTCAAGGCTCAAGACAAAAACACCAAAAAAACAATCTAATTTACGTAATATCCTGCAAAAATTGCAGTGGAGTTTATATAGGGCAAACCAGTCAGTATCTTGAAAACCGTGTAAAAAGCCATAAATACGACAAGAAAAATAAAACAGCCCTAACTTTGCATGAAATCCAAAAAAATCACAGTTTTGACTTCGAAAATACAAAAATAATTGGCACCGAATATAACACTAGAAAAAGAGAAATTCTTGAATCTATTGCCATCCAAAAAAAACAACAAACTGTTAATGATAGGAGGGATTTAAACAACCTGAGTAAAATATATTATTCAGTGTTGCAACTCCATTTCAATGTGTGTGGTCTGTGTCTCTTTACAAAAATTGTAACGACTATATCGAGATGTTTTGTGTGTTGGATTATCAATATTGGATTATTTTCTTCACCAAGGTAGGCTTTTTAGTATTTTTCTCTCACGCCACCTTATAAAAATTGATTTTAGAATAAAAATGGATAAAATTATAAAATGAAAACAATAAAAATTAAGCTAAAAACTGAAACAATGCGATGAAATTTACTTTCAAGGTAACAGAATATTTTTTTATATAACTCAATGGACGTTCATAATGTCACTATATTTTTTAGTAATAAACTTTGATAAAGACCCTACCAGGTCGAAATGTCAATGTAATTTACAGAAAAAAAAACGTTTTTCTCTTTGTAAAAAATTAGATAAAAAATATATATTGAGAGGTCAAAGAAAAGAACCCAAAAAAAACATTGATATCAAATATACCAAAGTATTCTGTTTAAAATGTATAACTTTCATCTGCCAAGCTTTTTATGCGCCTTGTATATACAAGATAAAATATCCTAAAAAACTTACCTCCATATCGCACTCTTCGTTCGTCACCCTCGAAATTTTCCGTTCTTCGCAGCTCGCAAAGTTCGATTTTAACTTGAAACGCAATTACTTCGACTACCTGACGAGCGCCAAACGACCCCTTGCGCGTTCGTGGACCTACTCCTACTATTAGACCGTGCGCACACGGGTCGTCTCAAAATCGAAGCGGTAGCGTCGCGAACTTGGAACGAATCTCCCTCCGCTCTACTTCCTACGTAAATAATAGGCTCACGAACGGGTCGTTTGGCGGTCAACGCGGTGTCGATGTAATTAATACTCTTATCACAGATTAAAGAATATTTAAACTGTGCGATTACAGAGCTTTCAGATACGTAGGTTCATAACTAAAGGTATTTACAAAAAATAGTTATATATTATTTTAATTAACTATTCTTTGAAGGTGCCCGGTGACGTAGAGGTACAGGCTCTCGTCTACCAATCTCAAGGTAGTGGGTTCGAATCCCACACCCGGCATTTCATCAGCCGAC